GAAAATTTACAATTTTAAAGAGATGATGGTACTTATTACATATTTTTTATATAGGAGAGTACCTTGTTATAAAACACCTAACTATCTAGTTAGCTAGCTTAATAGCTGTATGAATGGCACTATTATTTGAGCGTGGATATCTTAGTATCTTCAAATCTTCAAACTGAGCTAACAGTTACGTTCGTTTTACACACAATCTCAGATACGCTAACCTCACTTCAGTTTGCTCAGTTTATTGCACGTTCTTTTGGCAAAAAATCATTGTTATTTTTTTAGGCTATGTCACTGACTGACAGCCTCATCTCTGTTTGGACTGTTCCACTTCACTTGCTAAATGAACGCAAGTAACGTACTTATCTCTTTATTCTTAGAATCAATTTTGATAGTCCTTTTGTGTGTGATCATGTATCTGAAAGCCAGATTATTCCAAATAAAGTACGAATGCGAAATAACGTAGACGTGAATCAGCACCAAAGGGCCGAAACAAACAAACACCCCATTCCGTATACTCAATTAAGCTCCACCCTCGTTGGGTTTAGCTAATTCCAGATCCAACACATTGTGTGGAGAATCACGACACAATATTAAGAGTCATGGTCATAAGGATTTTATTTGTTTAGTGAGTCAGCGTGGAGAAAGACACAATGTCGGGGTGTCTAAATGATGCAAATACAGAGTGATACAGTTAGAGGCATGGTATCAAGTTTTACAGTTACGTTAACTTGTAATCCCGAATGTTGAAGGATTAGCAGAAAAGTTAACTCGAAAGGCTTTTACTGTATATTTTCTTGTTATCAACATTTTAAGTGGTTAATGTCCAAGAATAGATTAAAGGATCCATTTTCGGATGCAACCTTGGACCTTTGTTTTGTAGAGTATGAAATGTTGAGTTATCCATTTTCTCAAGTCCACGTTTAGTCTTAGATTCATAGTGGAATATAGTTGCTCTTGTGGGTTATACAGGGTGATTCACAAGTCGTGACCAAAAATGAAACATCATACAAAGGAGCGCATTTTAAAAGGGGTCTTCTGAGTAACATTTTTTCCTCGACTGATTCATTGAAAAGATTCGGGTTGTTGAAGATCACAAATAAAAAACAATTTTTTTAATATCTTCAAAACCGTCAACTGGAATGAACTAAAATTTGGTATGTGGATTTACCCTAAGCATTGTAAACATTCAAAAGTCTTTACTTAAAATTTAGAATTTTACCTTGAAAAAGACCACCATTCTTTTTAATATTTTTAATAAAGAAAAACGAATTGCCGCAAAATTGGTTGTGGCTTGAATTTGATGAAACGCATTATCTATTCTTTCTTGTAACTGATTAACAGTATTAATTTGTTCAGCGTACACTAGTTGCCCCACAAAAAGAAATCCACGGGGTTCAAATCAGGAGACCTTGCGGGCCAACGTACGGGTCCGTTTATGCCAATCCATTGTTGTGTAAAATGATTATTTAACCATGCGGTTATGTCACGACGAACATGCGGTGGGGCACCGTCGCCGTCGTGCTGATACCACATACGTACTCTCGTTGCTAACGGAACATTATCTAACAGATTTTCTATGTATATCTCTAGAAAAGCCGCACGAGACATTTCTAGAAAATCTGTGATGAAACAAGTGGATTCTTACAGAACGGGGATTTTCTAAGGAATAAATACGTTCATTATGAGAATTAAAGGTTCACTCCTCGTAAAAAGCGATTCATCTGACCACAAAACCAAATTAATAAAATCTGCATTTTGATTATGCATTTGCAGTAACCACTCACAAAAATTTCGCCGTTGCACTTCGGCGCCGGGTTGCAGACATTGCACATTTTGTCGATGGTAAGGATGTAAATATTCCCGATATAAAATTCTCCACGCAAGACTTTGGGAACATGTTAACTGGGGTGATATCAGCCTAGTACTTGTACTAGGATCATCCAACGCTGAATGAATCACTTCCAGTTCCTCTTGAACAGTATGCTGGACACCATGGCCTCTAACTCCGGGCAATTCCATATTGCCGAAGTCTTAGAAATGGACGCGTAAAAACCTTTGGGGTAGGTTGAAGTCTGTTAGGAAATCTACGTTGATACTCCCGAGAAACCGCTAAAGCATTTCCATTACAGAACCCGTACACAAAAATAATAACGGCGTACTCATCATTGCTAATTCCATTTCACAACACTCAAAAATGGAAAAATTAAGCTTTTGACTTGACTTTTAAGAAAAAAAAATGGTGGTAATAACGATAACAACCATATAACACATAACTTTGACAATCTATCTCCCAAGAAACGTCAAGTTGGTACTATTTTTATTTGGAAAAATAATGCCACTAATTCCCTGTATCTCTGCCACTGATGCACGTTAATGTTAAGTAAAAACTTTTAAATGTGGACAATACTTAGGTAAATCCACATAGCAAATTTTAGTTCATTCCAGTTGACAGTTTTGTAGGTATTAAAAATTTTTTTTTTATTTGTAAACTTCAATCCCGTACATTTGCAATGAAGCCCTCAAGGAAAAAATGTTACATAGAAGACCCCCGTGTATGATGTTTCATTTTTGGCCACGACTTGTGAATCACCATGTATAAGTAACGGAACGGCGAATTTTTTGTCGGCAACCCTGAAGGTTGAGGAGATTGCAAAACTATCCAGCAAAAGTTGAAATATGATTTATTTATGAAATTTGTCCTCAGAAAAGGTTAGTGATTATTTGTTAAAACCTTCTCACGCTGTACAAGGCCCAGATAAGACATCCCGACTACATTATCCATGTTCGATGTTCATCAAAATATTGTCTAACGGACAGTCTCGGGACCCTTTCGCAATGACGGACCGTCGGCGATCTGGCTCCCTTTTATCAGACGCGCCTGACTTCGACCTCCCATCCGAGCCGTGTCAAACTTCGCACTTATTATAGAACTCATCGGCACGAGCTCTCCTTTGTCAGTAGGGTATCGAAGTTGTGGAACAATCTACCTGAGGAGGCTTTTCTTAGTTCTACTAACATGAGGCAGTTCAAAACTCGGATAACGTTGAGCTCCACATAGCGACCGCGGTGCCCCCGTATTTAGGCTTCTGCCTATGCGGCTGCTTCGGTATAAAAAACAGTGTTGCACCACTTAAAAAAACACAGCTATAGACCTGGTAGTTTGTCTGTGAAGATCATTATCTGATTTATCAAAGATTTCATGGAAGTGGAAATATCTCCTTAACTACTGAATTTCGTACAACATATAAAGAGTCTGATTCGCTAGATATTAAGGTCCATTATTTCTGACCCAGAAAATCTACATGCGTTAAGAAATTATAAATATTTCGAGATATACGAAATCCTGAACTAAGAAAAATTCTCTGGGATTTTGTCTATAAATCACAGTACAGAGAGAACAGTCAAAATTGTAGACGCATTTTCCATTTTTTTATATATTCAACTAACAACAGACAAGAAAGAATACCAGACGGTCTTCTATGAATTTACATAGCGACAACCTTTCTCCGAAAAGATCAAATGCATAGATATCAATACAAACTCGATCTTTCCAGGTATGGATAAACCTAATACCCATAAATACCCTATCTAACATACATAAAACTCACCTTATCTTCTATTTAATTTATCGATTAAATGTACGTACACAATCCTTTAAAAACTCTTATCTGTGAATCCGGTGATATATGCTTATGATGCCCCTTCTACCGAGTTTTAGACTGCACCCGCTCTTAGTTATTGTTCATAAAGTATCATTTAAATGCAGAGGAGCCAATTCGTTGAATTTACGACTTTTTCAGAAATGAGCATATCAGTAAAAAGATGTGTGGGCACTTGGAAACAAATTTACATCATATGGTGAAGTCTTAATATTCTAACCACACACAGAGACACATCGCGATCAGTGGCGCAACCAATTGGGTCAAGTTTCACAAAGATAGGGAAACACAGAACATAGCATAGGCGGTTATTTAACAAGACAAGAAAGTATCTGATTTTAATATAATACTTCAGAAGTAATGCTTCTAGAAATCCAGTAAGAGTTTATTCGTCTGAGGATAGCCCAGAATACTTTTAAGAACTCCTACTGTGGTAGTCGGCTCTAAAAATTCCACCCATGCCCAAACCCTATTCATGCCTTTTCAAAGCAAATGCCAGAGCGCCCCTATGGGCCATAGATGCCTGGAGAGGCAGCGACAAGCGAATAGAAATAAGACAAAGTACCATCTATTACCAAAATTGACCACTGCGAGAGTGAAAATAGCAAGCTGTTTTCTGGTAGTGTATTAGATACGGTATATTCGCCATTGAACAAACTAGTAATACAGCTTTTGTTTGACAGATCACAGAGGCGAACAGCTGTTTCATGCTATTTGACAGCTCATCAGCATGGTCTAGGCTTGTTCTCAGGTAGGACAATGAACATAGACTATGCTATGAAGTTCCCAAATACCACGTTACATGATACTTGGTTGGCTGTCTGTGGTCGGATAAACGAAAGTTGTATTACTAGTTTGTTTAAGCGAAAAGACGTGGGGATGGAGTGCTCATGCGTGTATTACGAGAAGTAAAAGAAGTTTGACTGTGGTATAGCTTCCTTAAGCCTAGTTCATATCGTGTTTGCCAATAAGACAAGTAATACTCATATTGGTAAATTTAGTGACGTGACAAGTGGTAGCTTTCATATTTCAATTTCCGTGGAATTGACAAAATTTGAATTCTACGGGACGGGAATCTAAAAATCATTCTAATTTCTTGCAATTATTGCGTCCGAATTTTCTGTCAATGCTGTCAAACCTGTGGTTGCCGCATGCGCAACCCAAAATTGTTTGGTTTGTTAACTTCATTTCTTGGACTAAATTACGAAATGCCCCTTCTGTACTTAAAAGTGTCACAAGTACCGTAGCTAGAAGTGATCTATTATTTCTTTTCTTTTACAGTAAATACTCAGCAATTGCTCGCCTTCGACTCTAAAGAAACAAATTTTATATTTTAAAAGTCTACAGGTCGGCAGAAAACTGTCACAAATTCATAACAATACCCACAGAAATGGCAGAACGAGCAAGCAAGCAACTATAGCTACCAACATCCCAGTATGCCAACGAAAAACAAAAGTAAATGTATCTGAAATTATTGCGAAATTCACGACTACATGAACAAAGCTTTTGACTCAACGGTGGTCACTCTATTGAGTGGAATGAGACTGAACAATTCGACAACCTTTTTGTAATCGCTGTCCTCATTATCTGCTAACTAGCTGCCATTTCATCAATTAACAATATTAATAATTGAAATAATATTATTTGATCGAATTTTTCATATCAAAGCCCTGTAGGTCAGTACGCCACTGGAACAGGGCTGTGCCAGAGATGCTGTAGAAGTGCTTCTTCGTCACTACCGTGAGATTTATCTGTTCTTTTGAATCGCCGACACGTCAGAGGCGGGGCGGAACGCTATTGGTGCATTGGTGCATTTTTCAAGACATAGCTGCTTTTAAAAATAAAAGAACTGTGGGCTATATGGATACTGTGGGACAGGGTGTAAGGAGTAGACTTGACTTAAATCTGAATGAACCCAGTATGCCTTTTCTCTTTTATGTCTTATAATTCTTCCGTATGTTAACTAAGCACAATTTTTTACGACAAAATTGGGAAGTTGTGTATTTTTGCAGTGTTGTATTTTGAAAAACTTGGAATACCTCAATACAAAATCTTCCTTCATATCGCACAAATTTTATTGATTTACGAAGAGGAGCGGTATCACTTTTGCAGATTGCTGGCGACAAGGTCGTTGAAATAGCTGTCTCACAAAATAGGGGGTTGCTGTACGATTCAACCTCACCCTAAATAACTAAAGGTTGACAGAAAGGCGATACGTCATTCCGAAAGCCCTTTACCCACACCCATGTATTGTTGAAAATGACTTATATTTCACATGATCACGCTCTAGTTATGTGAATCCCACTAATGGATTTGTGCAATCTGCACCTTGGCTTTTGTCGATATGTGCATGATAATTTTTTAAGATAATTGCGTTTGAATGTTTTGCAATATTTGCAATAATACCCTATGAAAGAGAGTGTAATTACACGATTTTATTATGATTACTTCCCACGCCTAGTGGCGAGGAAGTCACTCATTTTCGTCGCTCTGTCTGTCTGTCGGATTGTCGGTCTGTTTGTTTGTTTGTTTGTTGGTCGGTCGGTCAGTCTTTCTGTCTGTTCGCTAAGTCTTGGCACGTCTATAACTTGGAATGAATGAATGAATCTTGAATTTTAGAGGCATCCCGGCCACCATAAGGAGCCAGTGCATAGGCCGCTTAAGCGGGCCCTTATGCACCTCTACAATACTTAAATCACAAGCCTCGCCCTTTTAGCGAAGTTGAGAATCGCCTTGAGTCCAAGCTCCTTTACGTCCTGAGGGTCCAAAGTAATGGACCCCAGTATAGTCTGCCTATAGTAGCTCAGAGCTTCACAGCGACACAAAACGTGCGCCGAGGTCTCTTCCTCTACTCCGCAGCGTTCGCATAAGGGATCCTCAGCCACCCCCATCACGTGCAGGTGCCGCCTTAACGTGTTATGGCCAGACAACAGTCCCACCAGCAACCTTAGGTTGGCTCTACCCAGAGATAGGCAGAAGCGTCCATCCTTAGCACTGGGCCCTTCAATGAGCTCTCGTGCCTGGCGGAGATGTCTAGAGATACTTCTCCATTTCTGAGAGTGTTGTCTTGCAACCCACGTCTCCATTTTCCTCCTAGCTTTATGCGCGGTTACTCCTAGAGCTGGCTCAGGACCAACGAGCTTGCTGGCTGATCCTGTTTTCGCCAGAGTGTCCGCCGTCTCATTGCCCCTTATCCCAGCGTGCCCCGGTACCCATATTAACGATACCGGATGCCTCGCTGCGAGGCAATCCAGAGCCTCCCTGCATTGCAATACAAGACTCGAAGTAATCTTACATGCACTTAGTGCTTTCATTGCAGCCTGGCTGTCGGATAAGATTGTTATTCTTCTCCTAGGCCCACCCTCCTCCAGAATGTGAGATACACAAGCCAGAATCGCAAAGATTTCCGCCTGGAAAATGGTGGTGTACTCACCGAGAGGCAGAGATAGCCTAGTTCTAGGTCCAGAGACCCCAGCACCTGAGCCCTCTTCGGTGACCGAGCCGTCCGTGTACCAGACCTGCCCGCTCACTTCGGAGAGTCCTCGGCTACCGGCGTCCCACTCCTCCCTCGTTGGGTACTCCACAATGAACTTGCGGTTGAAGCGATATTTAGGGGTAATACGATCACCCCTGCTTAGAAGAACGGGGTCCTCCCTATCTAATTCGACTAATATGGCAGTATGCCCCTTGACCGGATTCAAGAAAGCCCAGCTGCCCTGACTCCACAGTCGATGAGCGACTACTCTCGCTTCACCGCGGATCACCAGATCCAACGGTGGGAGATCCAACAGAGCTTCCATTGCACTCAATGGCGTTGTTCGCACTGCGCTTGTAATGCTAATACAGGCCAAACGCTGAATTTTATTGAGTTTGGCCTTAGTTGACTCAGTTCTAATGCAAGGCCACCAGACCAGGGAGCCGTACAAGAGAGATGGACGTACTATCGTCGTGTAGAGCCAGTATACCACTTTGGGTTTAAGCCCCCACCTTACACCGACAACACGTCTACAAGCCCACATCGAATTGCGAGCCTTGCTAACCTTGTGTTCCACATGCTCTCTCCAGTTCAGTTTGCAGTCCAGGATAATTCCCAGATATTTCACTGACTGGGACAAAACTAATCTAGTCCCAAAGAAGGTAGGCATGACCAGTCCGTCAAGCCTTCTTCTCCTAGTGAATAGGATCAGCTCGGTCTTTTCAGCATTAACAGAAAGATCGACTTCCCTACACCACGATTCCACGGAGCGCAGAGCGCCCTGCATAATTTCCGAGACTGTTCTACAGTATAACTTGGAAAGTACCGGTCGGATCTTGATCAAATGTTTACACAAGGTTACTACTATTCTAAGGATGAGAACTATGTTTTTGGAAACCGGTGCAGTGGCGACGGAGAAAAAGGCCAAACACGACAAGCAAATTAATATTACTTAAACTTTGTTTTTTGACGTTCCTAGAAGGATCCTGATCTTTTTTGAATAAAAGATTGAAGTGTGGATGGTAGTAGGGAGTGGAGGAGGAGTATCTCAATTTTGTCGATGTCAATATGTTTATACGCTCTCAACCTCGGTAAATCTACGCACCTATTAGACATATTTCATACATCATACATTGTCCTATACATTTGCCCTTAAAACTTAAAATAAAGATAAATCCTTTCTATACGCATCACTGATTCTGGTGTCTGAGATCACCGCTGAACGTGCCGGTCTTGGTCTCACTGCAGCGTCGTCAGGTATCCAGTGAATCTACTTGACGCCATTTTTCCCTATTCAACATAGGGTTTACCGATTTTGTATTGACCATATTCAAAATAAGACATTTTTTACTTTTGCATCCACGGGGGAAGAAAATTTTTTTGCATTAACAAACTTTAAAAGTTTGAAGGCAAGCTGTTAACGAAATTTTTCAAAATTCCTTGCATCGAAATTTTGACCAGATAGATAGATAGATAGATAGTTTATTGTCCTATTAGATCATGTTACATGATATAAGACTTGTCAATATCAATTTGAGGGTCATATATGCGTTTGAGCAAATATGCCGGAAAAATACTTATAATTATAAAATAAATAAGGACATTACAACTACAAAACATTTTAACAGTTTAAATCACATTATATGTACAGCGCAAGAATCGTAATGTGTTCAATCTGTAACGGTAAAAATATATACATATACACCAATTTTTTTTATCACAAATAATGTTCGTCTAGCCGGTAAAAATCATTGAAGCTGATACAAAGAAAATCGATAGGAAAATCTGTTAGAAATACATAATATATAAACACAATAAACATCGAGCAGTGAGGACAAATAGTTAAAAGCTTAAAAAGAAATCATCCATACTTTCGTTAAAACTCGAATAAAATGTGAAATTAAAATACATTTACTCCACGATAATAGACAATTCACTGATAACGAATGATTAACAGCTTAAAAGATTTAAAAAACAGATACTTTCATGTGTTAATAAAACTCATGTAGAGAGTAAAAGCATTTTTCAACCAGATATTTCCTGAGATGGTTTTTCAGCGCAAGGATAAACCCGTTTCTTGTGTACATCACGAATCGGTTGTTGCTGAGATGGATGAGAGGTCCCAGCGATTTTCTAAAGACCATATTCCAAATTACCATCCCAAATTAACCCAGGGTAACAATCATTCTAGACTGCCCCCTGCCTTTGTATGCGTTAACTTTATGCTTAGTTTACACACTCCCACCTTGAAAGCGACTCATCTAACCGAACTCCTAATAGTGTTTTATACATTGGAATATCACATTTGATAAACAAACGAATATTTACCCTTGTTTTGATACCATCGTACATACTCGTATTCATATGTCACTCGTTAAGTGCTCCTACTTTATTCTATTTTTAAATTGCCCTTGAATGTCATTCAAGAAAACGCCCTGCGGAACACATATCCCATTACGAGGTAGGTTTAGATACGGCCCATTACCACGAATTCTAAAGTTACACAAGTCAAACAATACACTTGAAAAACGATACACGACATCCAGTCAACATGTGGTGTAAGCTATACTGAGGCGGGATTCTTTGCGGGTCTTTCAGTTTGTGGGGGCTGGTATGGAAAAGAGGAGCCGACGAAGCTCTCTTTATTTTTATTCTTTGTTCCATCTGATGCTTTGGACGACATTACGCGAGGCGAAAACCTCGCAATTTTATGAGAAAATTTCCGACTGGATTTTTTTTCATAATCACCGGCGGCGGCAGCAATGCTTTATGAAAGTATCTCTGCTGGGGGAGAGAACACTGAGTGAAGCCACTTCAATTCTCAATCACCGACACTCCCACTCCCAGAAAGCACCGGTGCAGCCTCCGGAAACACCCAGCCCACCCTTCCCCCGCTCGACAGTTTTCAGTCGGCGATATAACTGCTTTTAGAAGTACTGATGTAGCCGACATCCCCGCTCCACAAAAAAATTCAGACTGGGTTTCCCTCTGACCTCTTGATATAATTTACTACAGGCCCCCG